GAAGACGTGTCTATGTAGAAATTAAGAAAAACAGCTCCTCCTCAACAGTTTTTGACCAATCAGATAGTAGCACCTTTTGATATAAATATTGTATACCGATAAGTTGAGAGTAGTCTTTTCCTTTTTTCCTAAATAGTGAAGATCCATGTGCACATGCTTATTTTGATATGTTAATGTATAATAAATTTCACATAGTGAAATATATATCTTTTCATTAGTCTTCTCTTTTCAAAATAAAAGAACTTTTCTCACAGTTAATGTCACTTGTTTACACTTTTTATTTTGGGAGTATTAATAGGTACTTTATGTAAGCTATTTATATTGTATTTCATATGTTCAGTTCATTTTTTGCATTTGTTTCTTTAATTCTTTCTAAGTATTTTGAATGTGCAATTGCTTTATTTAAATAAAAGAATGTCCAAGATTACATTACATTTCTTATGAGTATATACACTAGCAGTGGAATTTACTGCGATGCAACGGGCGCCACCTGAAATCTTGCCTAGGGCCAAATTGGTTAGGGCCGGGCCTGTGTTTAGACACCAGAGAGAGACGTGTGCCTGTGGATGTGCTAATCGTGCCCCTTGCTATCCTTTCATAGGTATGTTGTGTTACTGCACTTCAATTTTAACTCTGCGCACAGTTGTGTTGGGGAAGGTAGCCAATTTCTATTTAGTTGAATATGTTTATTGAAAATGTATATTTCATTTCATAAGAATGCGCATGTGTAATATACTGAATGTGTGTTAGAGTATTCATAGTTCACCCTGTTAGTTATTTTATTGCCCATGGTTAGTAGTGTTTTGATATGGGTATAGGATTTGTAATGTGTTAGATATTTTGAGAGCAAGTAGAAAGTAAATGGGCAAGGAAAAAAAACGCTGGATAACACTGGTGTGGACACCAGAGAGAGACATGTGCCTGTGGATGTGCTAATCGTGCCCCTTTCTGTCCTTTCATAGAATAAACTTCAAACCCTGAAGCCCTGTGTGTCCGACCTGTGATTCAGCCATCTCACAACCATTACACTGATAATCCAAGATTATAATGTTCAAATATATATAAAGGAGCATTTGTTTTGATACTTTATGTATATTTAGATGATATCTTTGTTCAACAACTTCAGCAACATTTGGAATCTGCACTCTTGGTGCTTGTAATGGACTATATTTACATAGTGGTCTAGCTAGTGTTAGGGTGATTTTTATTTTACACACATGAATGGTTTTACTTTATAGCACACATAAGTTTACATACTTACAGTATATGTCACAGTTATATTTACATAGTTACATAGCTTCCTATTTGTTCACTGAACCACTGGTTAATATTTACTGTGTTAGTCACTGAAGCGCTGTTCAACATTATAGTGTCTTGTCCACTAAATTACTGAATCTCATTAGATTTACAGCTCCGGCTAAGGGAGTCCACAGTGAATTTATTATCACCATCGGGCTAGTGGAGCCAGGGGAGTTACAGTTCACTGGGACTCCAAGGTTAGTTAAACAGAGATTAGATCTGGAGGCTAGTGGGGGAGAAAGCTTCAAAGGTAGGAACATTATGCACCCCCACACACACAGGCAGAAGAGTTTTAATTAGTGAAACAGAAAGTAATGCCTAATATGGAGCAGTTAGTTGGAAATAAAGGAAGAAGTGAGTTGTATGTAGAAATTAAGGCAGTATAAGTATTCCTCTCCTTCCTAGGGCGCTGTCTACGATGATTGGAGCAGAAAGGACGTTGGGAGGACAGACAGATTGAAGGACTAATAACGGGAGAGTTAAGTCTAAACCACAGCTTCTCCCCAACAGTTTTTGACCAATTAGATAGTAGTACCTTTTCATACAAATATTGTGTACCGACCAGTTAAGGACAGTCTTTTCTGTTTATCCTAAACAGTGAAGATCCATGTGCACATGCTAATTTTGATACGTTAATGCATAATAAATTTCACACTGTGAAATATCCTTTTATTAGTCTTTTCAAAATAACACGCCTCACACTAGTTTTACTCAAAATATCACTTAATATTTATTCTACCACAGTTATATCTACACCTACTTATTGCACAAGCTAAAACATGGATGCATGCGCATTTAGGATTTAAGGCAACTGTCAATGCTTGCGTTTGTGTTAGGGGTCCCCCTATCGGTAAAGGAATGGAACAATATATTTGGTTACTAAAAATGCTTGCTGGCTCATTAGCCTTTATACCCTAACACCTCTGACACAACACTAAAACTCTGGATTTACTCCAAGATACACATTAAAACAACAACCAGCTGTTGTTGCTGTCATTTCTTTAATTTACAGAGATATACAATTTGCAAAAAAAAACAACAAACATTTCATTTATGATTTTCTGACTCCTTGTTGGTGCTGACATTACAAATGACTGGTGACATCAAATGAATGGTTGCAGGAGGCCGTGGCTTTGAGGTCCTCTTTCTTTTTGAAGCAGCCAGGTACAGATTGGCCAAGTCAGTGGTTCTTGTTCTTTATTTCATACTTCATCCACAAATGGTGTATTAACAAGTGGTCCGCTAGCAACCATGGTCTTCTTGCCGTCCACAAATATTTTTGCAGCCTTTAAGGAAAGGACACATTTGAAGTCTTTAATTCACTGTTTAGTCATTTTTTATAAGCACTAAAGCAACACTAAAATTAATAGTTATTTGCAGCCCTATTTATTCATCACAACTGAAACAACACAGTTCTATTTGCTACAAGTACACAAGTATAAAAGCAAAAAATTCAAGTGCATGCATATATTAATGTTTGTCTTCAAGCAAAGGCTTCCTGCATTTCATACAACATGGATTAAAGTTGAATAAAAGATGTATATTGGAGGAAACACAAAATGAATGAATGTCCCAACACCACCTCCACAGTGAAGAGACTCACCTTGACCAGATCATCTTGAGTGATATTTTCTATAGTCTGGAGAACTGTTTCAGGGAGCTGGTACGCTGTAGTGGTCAGAGCCTGAGCACCAATCTCCTCCAACAGGCCCTCAGAGGTCTCTATTGACATCAGATACTCTGCTTTCACCTGGTTCCTATGCAGATGCCAAGCACAACAGATTCTTCTGAACTGTCTCCCAGCACAGCAGCTCGGTGAGAACTGCACCTGTAACAACTACATCTGCTATGAAATGCCTTCTTCCCGTTGAACTCACTTTGCTCTGGTGATGTCAGCCTCTGACACATTTCCCTCTGCTACACTTTTCACTTGGGCAATGGCAGCTTTGATCACCTGCACAGAGGATGGCAACAAGACCAAATTCAGTGATTCTGGCACCTTTACTAATTTTAAATGAGGTTACATTTGTCTTGAAAGGAGTTTGGCAGTCACCTCTCTTGCAGTGTCAGCTTGTGCAATAGTATAGATGCCAAACAGTCCAGAGTCAGAATATGAGGCATTGAAGGCTGTGGCCTGAAAGACAACCAGCAGTCATCTGACATTAAGAGGCTGCACTCTCTAATGCTATTCAGTAAAACAGAGTAAAAAACACAACAGTTAAATGAATTTATAGTTCATTCTCTTTTTTTAACTCACATCAAATGGCTGTGTGGTAGCTTTGGCAATACCCTGGGTCAGTTTGCTAGTGATGTTTGAGCCCCTCTTTACATGTGGCCCAGCTCCCAGGACCCTTTGCAGCACAGTGAACGCACTGGCCTCTGCACTACCTGCCACACCACCCTCGCTGGCAATCAGCGTATGTACCAGGTCGTCATTGTTCTGCACTCGTATCTCACCTAAACACATAACACAACACTGTCATGACAACATCAACAGTGGTGAATCTTTGAAGTGTGTTAATGCAGCTATTGAACACAAGTTTTTACATCCACGGTACACAGATTTAACCACAGGTGCTCCAGCTCCGCTGCAGACGCTCAGGAATCCCTCACCCAGCTGCCTCAGCACAGAGTGCGTCACCCCTGGATACATAAATCATATAATACTAGCATTAATGTACACCTAAAGTGGAACACAGAGTACCTTCACCACATTATTCCAACACAAAAACTTCCATAATAGCATGATGTGTCATTAGTGAGGCCAACCCTTATAACAATTGCTTGCAGGCAAAATCCTAACTGGCCTTTGAAGCCAAATTTAACAGTTCAGTTCAGTGTAAACACACACACAGAGTTTTTACTTCAACGAGACTGTTATGACATCACAGAGCCAACTAACCCTTAGTAACCTGGATCCTTGATAGACACAACCTAAAGAGAAAGAAGAGCAGCTGCAATGAACCAATGCAGTCAGAATAGATAGCACTAGTAGACACTCACCTAGTCCTATAAGAGCCATTCTGCCAGCGGTGAAATTGTCTTGAACAAACGACTGCAGCTACAGAGGGAGGAGGAGGAGGTGTGTAAGAGCGATGTGTAGTCTAACAAATACTAGTCCTGATATTCACACATCTTGCTAACTAACTTGCTAACTGTAGCTCACTTCCGTCCAAGAATGCACAATAAATTATTTTTCTATGTAGAGAAAAACAGCTAAACAAATATGCATACCTGTTTAGGGGAGATGTGACCGACCATGTAGTCAGGGCAGTACAGAGAGTTTGACAGGGCAGTTTTGTACGCTGCTTCATGCAATTTCTCAATGATACCTGAAGGACAAATTGAAAAAAAACCTAAATTGTAACTAAGGAGAACTGGACACCAAGGGTAGATCCAAGCAACTCAACTGAAAAACATGCTTCATAAATTTTAACCTCCATCAAGTTTTACTGACAATACAAACATCAAATCAAATAATGTAATGCGTTGATCCCACTGAGATCGACAGCCTGTTCTGCAGCTACAAACTTGTCAAACAGGTCCAGACATGCTCTTGATACAAACCTATCTGGGGACACTGCTGAGCCAGAGCCTTGTCAGTCCTCACCCTGGATGTGAGTTCATTTAGCTCCCACAGCCTGAACTCCTGAGCTGTGATGATGTTGACCAAAAACTCCAGTAATGATTCGCTGGACATAGGAGTGGGAAGACATACTGAGGCGTGGCCTTAGTTAATAAAATGCACATAAAACACTGGAGTAAGTAGAAATAACATCACAGGCTTGACACAACTATAAGAGCACTCACAGGTGATCTCTCAAACAATCTGCAGCATAGACCATGGTCTCTCTTGATGATGTCACACTGCAGGTAAACAAGAAGGCAGCTGGTTCAGTGTGGTGGGCTGTGGTTACACTGCTGTTCTCCTGTTTATTTATAGCAGTCTGTCATTGTGTGCATGTGCAGAGAGAAGCCTCACTGACCTCAAGCTACCCCCGAGTGCTTCTACACCGCGACAGATCTTGAAGGCAGACGCCCCCTTAGTGGTCTACAACAGAAGAAAAACATCTGAATTAAACATTTGCATGTGAACTGAATGTAAACTAATGAGGACTGAGATACTGCTTTGAAAAACTGCAGTATATTAAATCTGTGTTCTTAAATTCATGGTCATAACTGAAATGCGATCACTTGCTCTAGTTTACCAGATAGCATCTTCGCTATAGTACGTCAGTGTGAGTACACATAAAGCTAAATGAAGACAATCATAACTGTAATTAATTTAGCTATTACAGAATTTGTTTTCCCTGAAAGCATTATACATTCACATCATTCACATATTACCAGGTTTGCTGCTAGTCGGAGCACATGAGAGACACCTTGGTTGTCCGGTGTCTCGTAGCGACTCCCAGCTTTCACGAACACACCCACGCTGGACAAGGGGGAGTAGTTCTCCAGTGATGCTATCACCAGACCGTTTGGGAGCTTGGAAACCTGAAGCAGAAAAGGAAAATGTTACCGGAAACTTTAACATATCAATTTTCCTGTGTTTTGTTTCAGTTATGGTTCAGTGTCTTAGATTCTATATTGTAGCGTTTTTGAAGCCTTGGAATAGTTATTTATAGTCCATGGGCCAAGCCAGAATTTGGTACTACGTAAAGTGGCAAAATCCCTTTGGTACCAGTTTGTTTGTAGAGTCCATATAAGTACTTTGAAACATGATAACCATTTCAAATGAGTAGCTTTATTAATCTTTTTGGACAATCATTATTTTTGTCATTATCATCCTACAGTATCTGCACAGCAGGTTTCTATGAAGTCTATTGTAAGAGGTAGCCATACATGCTATATGTTGATTTTTTAAGGACAGTCAGGGCTATCCATATCTGCCACAATTTGACATATTTGTTGTATACGTTTTATATTAGCCTTCATATTAAAGAAAACATTGTTTGCATCTATTAAATTGTTATATTTGTATATCTGTCTCAAAACATATTGATATTAGTGGGGATACCTTTTCAGATATGGATAGCCAAGACTCTCTATAATCTGATGATATCAGAACCATGGTGGTGGGACAATCCATGACCTAGCAAATTGACAAAAATATGTATGAACAGTATATGAAATATGAAATATGCAACAACTGGAGCTAGTTTCAAAACCAGATTAATCCACCATACTTCATTGTACAGATAAGCCAATAGTATCATCGAAAAAAGTTGAGTCTTGCTGTTTATTTCGATATGTGTTATATAGCCTTGGAGGCTACAAGCACTTTGCACCATATTCAGCTATGACTCAGTGTAAAAATGAGTGAAGAAATATTGTTTAACTTGTTTAATTGTATGCATTTTCAAATGAAGATTACTCTGACCATCTTTGTTCTACAATCAAGGTACTAGCGTCACTGTGAAGCAGAAAGTCCACTCTTTCATTTGATACCCATTTTCTACAACAACAACTTCGTGAGTAATTAAAAAAGACTGATGAGTGTGTGAAGATGCAGAGAGTGCAGGAAGGCTGAAATTTCATGGGATTTCAAAACCACATTACTTCTCTACTTTGTTGCACAAACTAGCATTTATACAAATTGGAAACAGCTAGTCCTGATGCTATTTTTAGTACCACATATTTAAATGTTCCATGTTCTTGATATACCTGTATTTCTGTTATTTTCAGAGCAATGTACATCAGAGAATAGAGAATTATGGCAGAACAGAAGCCAGATTGTTTAATACACTGTTCGGATGATGACTCTAACCTTGTGACACCTACGAATATAGATTCATGGAACACATTACTCAGAGCAGCTAAAATAAGAGGCTACAGCCCCATCCTTGATCTTGCTAAAGACCTACCTGAAGGTAGCATACCATCAGTATTGTATCACAGGAAATGTCATAGCATCTTCACTATGAAGAAACTGCTTGACAGCATCCTTGCAAAAGAAAGTTCTGCAGAAAAATCTCTCACAGAAGAGACAAATGTAGCAAGTATTTGAAAGGTCAAAGGACAAAAGAGAGCCTGACAAAATGCAGAGAGTTGAGAGCTGATGATACAATCAGGAGGGCAGCTGTCAGGAAAGGTGACAACAGAATGCTAGCCATAGTCAGCCATGAACTAGTAGCAGCTGAAGGTCATTATCACAGATCCTGCTACAGGGTGTATACAAAGGATCCAAGTACAGACATAGACAAAGGTGAACTTAATTTGGACCAAGCAGAATGTCATTATGAAGCAGCAGAAAGAATGGCACTCTCCAAAGTTTTTGCATACATTAGGGAAGGACTGATTGAACATCCTATAGTGGTACCATTCACAGACCTGGCCTCTAAACTGGTGACAGAAATGGCTGAATGTGGTTTAACACAAGTGGCACCTTCTACAAAGAAACACTCGCAAGTTGAAGCTGAAA